CTGTGATTAGAAGCGCCCTCGATTATATGCCAGACGGAAACGTCAATATGAACAATTTAAAAATTTGCAATGTCCAAACGCCTAGCGACGACGGTGACGTGGCTAACAAAAAATATGTGGATGAGATAAGTAATTTATTAAAAATTGCATTGAGAAAGATTATTGGACAGAAACTCGAAGCGTACACGAAAAGATTACAAATTGAAGACAAAACTAAATTCTCGCGTCTTGAAGAACAACTGAAAATGAGTAGCACTACATTCGAAAATGAAATTATGCAGTTTCGCGAAGTTTTCAACCAAAAGCTAAGCGAAATGAGCGCAAAGAAAGATTTGGAAAAGCACATGACAAAAGTCGCCGTTTTGTCACAGCAATTTCATGATATTGTAACCAAAATGGAGCGACTTACGAACGAAAATGAGAATATAATGAAGGTATTGAAACAAAGGGTTTTAAATCTTCCATCGCAACCGAACACACATTATGAATAAAGAGAAGGTACAACTGGTTCGAGAACTGCACAAGCCGGCACGCAGAAATTATGCTCGCCGCCGGACTATAATACGAGGGATGGACGACCTGTGGCAAGCGGATCTGGCCCAATTAGATCGCTACAGCAAACAAAACAGAAATTTTAAATTCGTGCTGGTTGTGATAGACTGTTTCTCAAAGTATGTATGGTGTCGCCCGTTGAAAACCAAAACCGGGGTCGAAGTCGCCAAGGCGTTTTCCAAAATTCTCGAGGACGGACGGCACCCTCAAAACTTGCAAACGGATCTCGGTAAAGAATTTTACAACGACACGTTTCTGAAACTTGTAGATAAGCATAAAATTAACCACTATAGTACGTATAGCATAAAAAAGGCCTCAATTGTCGAACGGGTGATACGTACCCTCAAAGAGAAATTGTTTCGACATTTTTCTTTACGCGGGACGTACAAATGGATCGATGTGCTCGCCTCTATCGTTGATGAATACAATAACACAAAACATAGAACGACGGGTACGAAACCCATCGATGTGAGTAAGAGCAACGAAAAGAGAATTTTGAAAACCGCGTATAGTAGCATAAAAATATTCGGTCCTCGTAAACTTAAAGTCGGCGACATCGTTAGAATCAGCAAAGTCAAGCACGTGTTTAACAAAGGTTATACACCGAATTGGACCACGGAATTGTTTAAAATTGTTAAAGTACGGGTTACTAACCCCGTAACGTATTTGCTTCAAGATATGCAGGGTAAACCCATAATGGGCGGATTTTATGAAGAAGAATTGCAGAAGACAGTTAACCCGGACCTATATCTCGTCGAAAAGGTGTTGCGCAGACGAGGCAATATGGTTCTCGTGCGCTGGTTGGGATTGGATAAGTCGCACGATTCGTGGGTAGACAACGTAGACGTTTTGAAATAAATTTAGTCTCGATTTAGAAGTTCTGACATAAATACGTGTATATGATGGCTCAAGAGCAAATTGTGACATCCAACGAATTGTATAATTTATTGGAAAATTTCGAGTTGCAATTTCCTTCATCAGAAGTGCTCCCGTCCAGCTTCGTTCCTGTAGAGCAACATACCAAAAAATCTGCGACCAAACGAAAACAAAGTGCGTCGGTCGTATCCCGCAAGAAGAAGAAGAAAACTACCATAAGTGAAGCGTTTGCAGCTCCAACGTCATCCGCTGATTGGCTCGAAGTGTTCACGGACGGTAGAGAAAAAAGTGTCATTTGTGAGGCATTCAATTTAAAAAGAAACTTGGCGTCTCAGTTGTCGGGATTAGAGTGCAATATCAACGAAATTGAAACACAAATTGCGCTTTTTAATACAGACTTGCAAGTGGCGCGGATGCAAGCTCAAGAGTGCAAAAGAAAACTAGAACAATTTAATAATTTAGCATTTAACGAAATTGTAAAATAGTAATAATGTATATAATAAATAAATTATACAATTACAAACTTCTGTGTAATTATTATGCGGTGTTGTGGTGGTGGTAAAAAAGAAAATAGCGTCTAAATATATACATGTTTATTCTTGTTGCAATACAATGGAATACAATCAATACATAAAAGCCTTATCTACAGTTACATATTTTATAATAAAACCACAGTATTAATAGTTCAATGGACTATCAGAAAAGCGTAACTTTTTTCCATATTTCCTCTCATTGTGAAGCATTAAATTACATTCATCTTCAGTTTCTACAGTGAACAAAACTTCTTCAAAGCAGCTTTGACACCAAAATTGTTTATCGTGATATACATCATTCAAATTATTTATATCCAGCTGTAAATGATAGTGATCCAATAAAAGTCTAAAATTTTTCTTTTTAAATTTTTTAACTACTTGAAATATAAAGTGACAAGATTTACAAACTAAAATTTCCGAATATTTTATCCTGTAATAACTGACCCATAAACAGTAAGCGGATTCTCCGTCAAAATCAATGGTTGGAGTTGCCAAAATGCTATTTCTGTAAGACGATCCAAATCTCTTATTCAACAGAATGAATTCTAAATTTAATAAAGAATTGCCATCAGACTGGAGCGCTAGTTGTTTAAGGTACGTCCATCTATATTTCGAATAATATTTAAATATTAGTATCGTTAGTTTCCAAGGCAAAGGTGACTCACGCAAAAAATCAGCACTACACCTAATATTTTCGCAAATTGTTATAATACAAAGGCTTTCTAATGTAAGTTGTTTGACCATAATCTGTAACAAAAATATATTAAAAAATAATTACGGCACTTTATAATGTCCCCACGGAAGCGTTTCATATGAATTCGGCAAAAGATACCGTTTATCGTCTAAAGGACTCAAGGCAACTTTTGTTTGTTCGATGCTAAATACATTGTGAGTGTATGAACGAATGGTTCGTTGAGTGGCGTACTTTTCCCTAAAATTTGTTAAGCATTCTACGTAGTCATCAAATGAAATTTTATTTTTTACAATATTGTACTGAATACCCTTTGACTTTTTAACTACCGAACCCGTTAAAATTTTGAAAGTATACATTTTCGACCTTAACCCCGCATAATGACTAATGATGGTGCCATTAGTCTCATCCTTCATCAACCCCAAAACCTTTTTGTTGATTTGCGGTATATTATAGGGATTGTCATTAGGATAATCAGACGTGTCAAATTTTGTTAAATCGGCCTTAATAACGCTTTCATATGCGTCATAACATTTGATATTATAAATGAAACTGTCCGTATCCATGTAATGAATTTTACATTTTTCGGGACCCAAATTTGGAAGCATGTAATTATAATGAAACTCGTACATGGTCGTTTTCGACAAATCCAATATGGACATTCCAATATAAAGTGGCTTATTAAAGCAAAGTTCCGATTTTTTTAATTCTATAAGCAACAAATTGTTATCAAGTATGGTTCTACTGTGAAATCTAGGACTAGAAATTAAATTTTTCGCACCGTAGCGACCATCCCACGCTTTAACAAATTTAACAATACGATGCTTGCGAATGTTTTACATTGTTTTACCGTAAGCGGCATTATTAAACAATTTCTATAAATTTATACCAAATTTTGTCTTTGCTTGGGTTCTTAATTTATTATTATGATCGATATAACATTTCAACCAACGAGATTGGTTAAATTTTAATATTTTGTGAATTTTCTTTAGTACGAGACCGTTTTTGAGAGCCTGTTTTAAATTGCGATAGTGTATGACGTATTTTTCTTTATTATACAAAGTAGTCATTAGTTTTGGTAACTTTGAATTGGGGGGCACTCGATGTTCGGCACAAAATGGAAAATCTCTATGTGTGTCATGTAATTTCTGCGGGTATTCCAGGTCTACCTCTAGGATATATCCTTGGGAAGATTCATCTGGAATGTTCATGACATTAAATGAATCAATCTCTTGATGAGACATCCAGTCGAATCCTCCGTAAGGAAGAGGCTCGCACATGGCCTTGCCATAGAGGTTATTGACGTCAAAGTACATGATATAGGAATCATCCCTGGATGAATCGTAGTTGGGCATATATTTATTGTTGGCCTCCGCATATCTACCAACACACACCGAAATTCCACCTCGTATAGCCCGCTCGATAAACATAATTTGGTCAATGTCGCACAACGAAGGATGACCCGTTACCCATTTCAAATTAATTAATGTTAATCTCTAAATAAATAATATTATTTAAAGCCCACCCGGAATCACGTTCCTGAAACTCTGACATTTGATTTAAAATTTTATCTTGCACATTTTCAACAAACCAATCATTCAATTCTGTTCCTAAATCAACTACAGCATTTCCGGTACTCAGATATTTAACATCAACTTCGCCTTGGACATCATTTTTTGCCTTAATAAATTCACCGCAAAATGTGGTATTTACTTTCAGCAATAAAAATTTCTTTAAAATTTGACTAATTTTTTGTTGAAATATTGGACGACAATCGTTTAAAAATTGAATTAAATCTTTATGAAGTAAATTAATTATGACACCGGTCTGAACTCTTCCCTGGAAACACGACGCTACCGATTCCCATACAACCATTTCATTTGTGTTTGTCTCGCGGCTACTACTTTGTAATCCCAATCCAAAATGCTTATGTTGATAATTAAGAATAATTTTTCTAATAGCTTTCAGATGTTGAATTGTAGTTTGTAATTTTCTTGTTAACCCGATAGAAAAATCCTTTTCGTTAGAAACGATTTGGTTGCAAGATTCAATATTTTTATTTAGTCTCCTAAGCCACACATCACTATCTCTAAGAGTGAACTTGTCGGAAATATGCTTTTTTAATTTTTGTAAGGTTAAAATTAAGATTTGCGCTCTATGAATGATCTGCTTTACGCGCATCGTGGTTTATTAAATATATAACAGTAAATAAGACTTACCCTGTATAATATGTTGATTAATTTTGAATTATTTTGAATTTTTTTAAAGAGTTGGGCTTTCCAATAACTTTGGATCCCTCGTAGACCAGTTTGTACTGCTCCGACGCAAAGTATTCTAGCCTCGGACGGAAAGCTTCTGTCACGCGAGTAGGAAGAAATACTACGGAATTTTCTAATTGCAGCAACACGGAATTGCCAAATTTTGTATTAACAATTTTGGCTCTAGTAATTTTAAACGGAACGCCTATCGGCAATTCATGCAGTTTGACAATCGGCTGCTCAAAATCACCTTCTGCAAGACAGGTTTGATTCAGTTGACTTAAGTCCATCTATAAATTATTATTAATTATTTTATCTCAAAATAAAAAAAATAAAAGAACTTACGCTTAAGATTGCTGCTATTCTATTTGCGGTTACGGGTTGAGAGTACTAAGATGATCTTTAAGACCTTTATAAAATAATTACAAATGTTAAAGAATTAAAATAAGACAATAAAAAAGGTACTTACTGCTTTTTTGTACGAACACCAAACCACTAAGTTAGCTTCCACGTTGCACGAATAATACCAAAAACAACTACTGACAAAACAGAGAAAAATGAGATGTATTTATACGGTGCGAGAATACTTTCTAAAAGTTAACAAACGAAGACACCTCCACATGCGTTGCAACAAATTTTTCCCATTACGTTAATCCCACGGAGCAAATATAAAGGGGGCAATTAATTATTATTCTCAACAAGCAAAACAACTTGACATTTAGACTCGGCGCGTTTTGAAATTCCACATCCCATACGGAGATTGTAAAAAATGAAAGCAAGTTGGCCTTGATCTTTTGCGGCAACATACGTTCGTCCAACGTCCGAAACGGTTGCGTTCCCGTGTGAAAGCGTGTTGACCTTGAGACTTCTACCTGCACGGTTGTCTGGCGACAACATCGCGTCTATTCAAATCCGCGTTGGTGCTTGTGGGTAGAAGACCTTTCGACTTTTAATTCAACCATGGAAGGGAGTGCATGTGTATAAATACGTTGCATGTGTATTGTAGACTATATTCAGTGCAATGAATACAGAAGTGCGATGCCCATTTCCCTACGACCCTACAACTGGTAAGTTTTATATTTTAATTACCTTTATACAGTGCGCGTCTTTTCTTGTGGGTTTCAGTTTGGGTTATCACTTTTTTGGTTAGTTTCTACCTGTTTTTAAAATATGATACTCATCTTTTTTACGTTGCATAATAACCGATTTAAATTGAGTGTTTTTAATATCTTTTAAATGACAGTGAATGGAAAAGGGAATTTTGGCTTTTAAAAAATAAACAATTTTTAAATTTGTTTCAAAAATGTTTTATTTTTTGTACTAAAAAATTGCAGTTTGCCTTTTTGACAATAATAATCGAATTAAATTGAGCGTTTTTAATATCTTTTAAATGACAGTGAATAGGGAATTTTGGCTTTTAAAAAATAAACAATTTTTAAATTTGTTTCAAAAATGTTTTATTTTTTGTACTAAAAAATTGCAGTTTGCCTTTTTGACAATAATAATCGAATTAAATTGAGCGTTTTTAATATCTTTTAAATGACAGTGAATAGGGAATTTTGGCTTTTAAAAAATAAACAATTTTTAAAATTACTGAAAGTTTTGTTTCAAAAATGTGCGTTTTATGGGGAAAACGCGAAATATATACATATTTTTGTTTATTTTTTGTACTAAAAAATTGCAGTTTGCCCTTTTGACAATAATACACTTACATTTAAATGACAGTGAATTGAAACGTGAATTTTGGTATGCGCGTATAACTTAAAAAACAATTTTTAAAATTATTTGATAACCCCCCTTTTTGGAAGTTTTGTTTAAAAAAATGTGTGTTTTATAGGAAACGCTACATATCATACTTTGTTTTGTTCTAGAAAAAATCGCGGTTTGTCCGTATGACAAGTCGCATATTATGTTGGCGCATCGCTTAGGGCGTCACATATTCAAATCACACAAAGAGTACCGGGGGTTAGAATTCCCGGTACGACATGAAACGACAAGGGAACATCACCAGCAGCAGGAGCAACCCGGTGGATCAAAAGAAACAAAGGAGCAGCAGGAGTACCCGGGTGGGTGGTCGACGGAGTGGGACGGCGAGGAGTGCACTTCGTATTTAGATTTCCTCCGGGAACGGGAAGAAGAACAACGCAAGGAACAGGAACAATGGGATGATCGACTGAATCGACATAAAAAGAAGAAGAAACTCCTCGCCAGACCAATTTTATAAATAAAATAAAATAAAATGTATTAAAATTCAAGTTTATTTAATTATCCTCCCGATCCACCGCGTCACCGCGCCGCACCGTCACCGCCCTCTACCGGGGGGGCCTACGACGGTCGGAGCGCGCGACATCTAGCAGCGACGGGCGGAACCGGGGCAAAACAGGACGCTACACAAGCGCGCGACATCTAGCAGCGACGGGCGGAACCGGGGCAAAACAGGACGCTACACAAGCTGGGTGGGGGGCGGAGCGCACTCTGGTAGACAGGGGGACACTAGGACGCCACGCGCGGGGGGCCCCCGCTGCGGGGGGGGTTAGGAAATTGAGGTTATGTACGGTTTCTGTTGCTTATATCGGCACTATACATCTACTCACGCGATCGACGATGATATTCCAGAAATTTGAAATTTGTTGACGTCTGTTTATCTCGGTATGTTCTATGTTTCCTGTCGATGTTCAATTATGGTTGCGTCTACCATAGTTTCAAATTCGGATGGGCATTGTAGAACCGTATTAGATCACCTCGCAATTGTCAATGACGTTAGAAATTTAGTATTACAATTGAAATATTTTCTATTGTTAATTTGACGAATTAGACAATCATATGCGATGAAATTTTAGAAAAATATTGTAATTTTTGTTGATTTCGTTAGGATGCTTGAAAATCGTTATTCGAAAATATATCGGAAAATAAATTTAAAAATAATTCGCAATCGTCCGGGTTATTATCGTTTCTTTTACCTTTTTCTTAATTATAACACGTTGGGATGAGAAGTAATTTTTGCAATAGTGGATATTTTTAATATTGCATGTGTGCACTTGGATTTTTTTTTTAAGTAGATTATATTTTACTCTTTACAGATTTTTTTTATTTCATTTCTAGTCATCACTTTATTTTCTTAAAGAAATAAAAAGGTATCTGTTAGCAATTCCGAATTCGTTTGATAGATGGCGTGAACTCGGGCTTTATATTTCTTTTGTTAATTTTAAAAATATAAAAAAATATATAAAACAATTATTAATTTTGTAATGGTAAGTATTGCACCTAATGTGTTATATAAAAGGAATATTAAAACCTTACTCGTTGAATGGAAATTTGTTTATCTAAATGATGTATTTATTAAACGATTTGAGAGATTCTTCTGATAATTGGTCAATGGTATTCTTAATAACCAAGTTGTCGGTGGAAAAAAATAAGCGTAAAATTTTAAATTGAAAAACAGATATTAGAAAATTGAAATTTATACAGTTTGTATGATTTAAGAAAATATGTAAATAATTAAAACATATTTAAACAATAATATTTCGTATTACAAACTATGATGTAAATATTAAAAGAAAATTGAAATTATTTTGGTGAAAACGATTTAAAATAATTAATTTTAAAACATAAAGAAGACATTTTTAATTTCTTAGAATATCTAGAGAAATAAATTAAAAATTGTCTATTCGAAATAAGTAAAAAAGTATACCTATAAATTATTTCAGCATGAGCGTTATGTTGATGGTAAAAAGAATGGAATTAATTTTAATTAATTAATTTACAATGTCAAATATTAATTACGGTCTACAGTATGAATATAGTAAAAACTTACTTGATATTTGTATTGATTTATCCAATCTATATTTTTCCCGGGAGACAATCTTCTTCAATCGGTGAAAACAGTTCTGGCAAATTCGTTGTGATCATCTCTTTAGGAATTATCGGCAATTGTCTCTTTGAAGTTTTACTAGGTATCTTCACTCACATTCGATGAAAACTATCTAATCCGAATCAGAATGATCCTTCATAATGAACCATTTCGTTGTTGAATTGTATGAAATTTTGTTCCGTATTTTCACCTTTCCATCATCCACGTTGTTTTATTTTGGCGTAAATTCTTAACTCCTACAATCGTCGGAGACAAAACGAAATTAAATTGGAGGCTATGGAAAATAATGTCCCATAAAAATTATAGATTCTATATTAAATACCTGTTATTAGTAAAATGTATTTGCTTGTTTTAAAAAAAAACCTTCCGATGTATTCTTCACGCGATCGATGACGATATTCCAAAACCTTGAAAATTGCCGACATCTATTTATCTTGACACCTTTAACGTTTCTCATTGACGTTTGACTGTGATTTTATCTACCGTAGTTTCAAATTTGGAGGCGCATTGCAGAACCCTATTGAATAATTTCAGAATTATTAATGACGTTACAAATTTAATATTGAAATTGAAATATTTTATTTCTATTGTTAATTTCACGAATTAGGTGATTATATGCGATGGAATATTAGAAAAGCATTATAACTTTTGTTGATTTCGTCGGGACATTTAAATAGTTATGCGAAAATGTCGGAAAATGTATTTAAAAATAATCCGCAATCGTCCGCGTTATTATCGTTTATTTTACCTTTTTCTTAATTATTATACTTTGGAAAGGAAAGTAATTTATGCAGTAGTAAATATTTTTGATAACACATTTACAAGTTTTTCTATTAAATAAAGGATATTTTATTTTTTACAGATTTCTTTTATTTCATTTCTGGTCATCACTGTACTTTCTTAAAGAAGTAAAAAGGAATCTGTAATTAATTCCGAAATCGTTTCATAGATGGCGTGAACTTGGACTTTATATTTCTTTTCTTTTAGCTCAAAAATTATACAAAACTACATCAAAAATAATTATTAATTTAGTAATATTGAATACCAGTGGCAATGTTTTATATAAAATGAATATGAAAACCCTACTTTTTAAATTAAAATTTGTTCTTCTAAATAATGTTTTTCTTGGATGACTCGACGGATTCTTACAAAGTTTCGATGATCATTTATTCAATGACATTATTTTCCTTTTGTTCTGATAATTGGTGAATGATATTCTTCATAATAAAATTGTCGGTGGTGATTCGTTGTCCATCTGAAAGTATATATATTTAAAGTTTCATGGAGAAAAATATAAAAATTTAAATTTAAAAAGATATATTAGGAAATTAAAATTTATAAAACTTGAATGATTTTTAAAAAATGCAAACATAATTTAAACACTAATTTTTCGTATCAAAAACTTCAATGTAAATATTAAAATAGAATTAAAATTAATTTGATGAAAATGATTTAAAATATATAATCACGTTCATAAAAATATTACATAGATTATTGATTGTGTAATATCAGTTTATTAAAAACTTACTTATTATGTTTTATTCTTTCTCCTTGTATAGGTAATATGGGTCCTTGTAAAGTTGTGATGGTAACCTTTTCAATAAAATTGTTAGCAGATCCTTGTTCAATAACTAATTGAAGGCATTCTTTATACGGAAATCGTTAATGATGATTTGTTTCTTACCTGTAAGATTATATTAAAAAAAAATGTACCGTCAAAAAAATATTTATTAAAGAGGTGCAATTAACTTGAATTGTATAAATAACTTGAAAAAATTGTATGAAACGTTATTTTTGTAGTATTAAGTTTTAAACACGATTTATAATATGGATATGACAAAAATTACCTTATATATTTCTATCCATTGATCCGAATGACATTTTAATCGAGTGATTTTCTTTTCAAATTGGCAATGATGATTCTGGCAAACTCCTAATGATAATTGTTCTAAAAGTTATCAGAAGTTGTTTCGTTGATAAACTCATCGA